CAGAAGTCATGTTGGTAAGCTGTCCATAAATGGAGCATAAATTTATTACTGATCATCCAGGGTCTAGCAGTTTTCCAAATATTGTTAGCACTCACATCTGATTTACTATAATGACACTCATTATAGTAAATTAGCACAATTTATTATAATGAGTATCAGAAATCGCTTAAAAAGATATCAGCTTTTTATAAAGATGAAACAAGCATGGAGCATAATGTGAAGATGTTTGCCTTGTTGATTCAAAAGTTGTCACTATTTAAAATGTTGACAAATCTATTTGGATCACCTTTGACATCTTAAAAATTAACCTTGCTCATCGCTAAATTAATTTAAACTGCCAATCATATATTTTCTTTTAGTTAGAGAAAGTATACATACAGAGAAATTTTAAATATACTGAAATAAACACACTCAAACACACTTGCACACATAACATAAAATAATTGAAACTTTAAATTTGAAAGTGAAGAAAAGTAACTTCAGTTTCAGTTATTTATTTCAGGTTTTGCCAGATACTGGCTTAGCTGAGTGTCAATGCCTGTTGGTAATTGTTGTTCGTGTGCTGTACCACCAGCGAACGTAGGCTGAACAGTTTTTTCAATACATTGCCAGAGTTACGTTAATGACTATCCAGCCAAACTTGTTTTTCTGGAGTTTCTTCAGTTTTGTCATTCTGCTGCTCAGCATGCTAAGATTGACTTCCATCTTTCATCGATACACCCTACATTGTAACTTTATTAAATGCAAGCAAATCCGCAGCCTTTGCAGCTATCAGTGTTGCCTATAACAAGAATTTAGTTTTAAATCGTGGATCAATCAGTGTTGCCACTGTATAAAGAGATTTCTCCTCAATGCCTTTAAAACGCTCGTCCAGTTACTTGAGTAGAGTTGACTTCATAACCTTTACACCTGCATGATTGTCTTGTTTATTCAACAAGTTTCGAAGAGATGTTTCAATAGGGATAACCAGTGATAAATGTACTGTTTCATTGCTTAATTCATGAGTAGTCTCTTCAAACGGAGTCAGCACACATACCACATTCTCAGCAATAAACCATTGATATGCCGTTGGTCAGGAAGTTTTATCAAATTTCGAACAGTAGCCAGTTAATGCACGACGCTGTTCTCATAGTTGACGCAGCATGTGAAGCGTTTAGTTTCATCTTGTAGTCACATCTTATATCAGCTGGTTGTCTGGTAAACAGCGCTCAGCTTGTAGCTTCTTGAACCGACCAGTTGCAGACGAAGAATGCTTAAAATTACCAACAAAAATGCAGTCATCAGTGCAGGGGCAGTATGATGGTATACAATCCAACACAAGCTCATGAACGGTATACAATCCAACACAAGCTCATGTTTTAAAACTTTCTGTCAACCAATTCGGTTGACAGAAGTACAATCATTCACGGGCTTAACTGTCAACCAATTTGGTTGACAGTTAAGCCCATGAATGATTGTACATTATTGCCTGCTTTCCATGTATAAGTGTTAAATGAAAGAAACAGAGTATTTGCTAGATCTAGCATTACCGACAGTTGAGTTCACACTTCATTGTTTATTTCAGGTATTAATCGCTCTGCAAAATATTTCCGTGAAGGAACAATGTACCGTTGAAATTAAATTGAAATTAAGCCATTTATTCATTTTTCTAATATCCTGCTATTCAACAATTTTTTAATCTCCTGATACGGACCTTTCACAATAACATGTTGTTATATTTGTTGTTACTAGAATGAGAAATATTTCAGGAATATTGGGAAAACCAGTCATGACTTTTAGTTTTTCAGACATACAAAATACTCATCTATCTACTTTAGTTTTTAGATTTTCCAAAGAGCTTCTCAAAAATCTAATTTTGCGTGAATGGAGGTTGGATGCAGAAAATCATAATGATATATGGGTTATTGACATACTTTTTTCTTCTGTAGAGACATTTAAAATATATTTGTATGTATATTTATAATTTATATTTGTATGTATATGTATAATGTATATTTAGAATATGTTTTTTTTTATTATTGTTAACTTATATAATTGGCTGTGATTAAATGGAATTATGATTTTCTTAGCTTTGCTAGCTTTCAAAAAACTTAAAATGCTATTCAAAGAACGATATTGTAGCAATTACAATAACAAGAGTCAATATTAAGTTTAACTTTGATTTATCTTGAAATTATCAATTTCAAGATTTTGCTGTTATAAATGATTTTGCTTTTCTTGAAGTGTAGTTGTAATTCCCAAAAAATATTCAATCAAACTTTTTCATCAGACTTTTCAGTTTCTGAATTCATTCTGTTCAATAGATATCAACTAGCATTGCTTAAACAATAGAAAAATAATTATTTAAACATAGAAAATAAATAATAGGTGTTTAAAATAATCAGGTCATGCTATAAAACACAAAAAAGATGGAAATGTCAAAGCTAGTAAAATATGTTTCCTTCTTATTTCCGGTTTCTGATGTCTTTTACGAAGAAAACTAATTTTACAGTTTTGGAGCTGTGTTATCATCCGTAAAAGCCGAACGTTTGGCAACCTAATTCTTATTGATATCTGAAAAAATATTCAGTGAAAAAATTGAAGGAGTTAAATGAAACACAATAGCACGTTGGTAATTATAAAAAATCATTAAACATGTACGTCACAACTACCAATTTACTGAAAATCAGCTACATTTAAATTTTCTTGCAAGATATCTCTGTGATTGACATGGATTTTCCTTTATGGTGCAAATGTTAGATTTGGTTTTAAATTTATTTTAAAATCTTTTTTTTTCCAATTCCATTTTAATAGATTGAGTTTGTTTATATTGTGGCAAAAAAAATTCAACTGAGTATTAGGAAACACAGACCATTTTTGAAATCTCAACTTGTGAAAAAGAAGAATTTTGACCGTGAAAAATTTCTAAGACATTTTTTTGATTTAAAATTTGTTTACTCATTTAAATCCAATAACAATAATAACCATTACTTATTACCATTATTATCAGTAACGGATCCAGGAAAAGGAAATGGCGATGGAGAGGGGAGGGGGCGAAGTTAGCTTTTTAGTCAGCATTAGATAAACGCTTTTATTCCATTTTAAGATATCTTATTTCATTATAAGATATCTAAAATTGTCAATACAAGACATATTTTTCTCTTTTTATAACCGATATAAAAATAGAGGCATTAAGTACAAGGTTTCATAATAAAGAAAGTTAATAATTTCTGGAAATGTTTAACGATACCAAAAAAAGTTCATCTTGTGCAACAGTTTGTTATATTTTATGCAAATTAAGATAAAAATAAAAGAGCTTTGGATTATTTTGATAGTTAATATCATATGCTAGAAAAAAATGTAGTTTTGTGGTCTATTCAAATGGCTTATAAAACTGGAAGATTTTAAAAAAGCAGTTTTGCAAATGTCAAAAATTGGATAAAAGAAAAAAGGGAAATTTTAACGAAAGTGCTTGTACTATCTTTTTTAAATATAATTATTTAAATTATCTACCAAGCAACTTGATCAATATGTAATGCTAACCCAGTGGGCACCGGACCAAAAAAAGACGTCTTTTCTTGGTTTATAAGAGGTCCAAAACGTTCAAAAGACGTTCAAAAGACGTCGAAAACGTGTATAAAACAATTAAAAGACGTCTTTTTTACGCCCTTGTCCACTGGACGAGTAAAATCTTGTAAAACATAATTGCTATTGTATGCATTGTTAATTCTATACTAATTAGACTTATTTTAACCCTATATTGCATAGCGTGTCTTTATATTAACATACCACATATTGGATTTTTACAAAATTTAACTAAAGGTAGTAACTTAAAGTATCTTTTGAGTAGTTTAGAGTTATGATACAGAATATTTTAAGTGTGACCACTTTGCAATAAAACTATATATTACCTTAGTGAAAACATTTGAAGTTGCTAATTTAGAGATGACGGCCTCACTTCATATTGTTAAACTTTGAAGAATTTATTTATATCAATTAAAAAATACTTATTAATTTTTTAAAGTTACAACTATGTTTTAGAAGCATTTAGATTTAATTTATATTTTTTATAAAGGTATAAACCTGAAAAATGTGTTTGTTGCTTTAAAGCAACACCATGCAACTAGATATATAAAAACCTAAAAACAACATAATTATGAATTGTTTATTTTTAAATGTTTTGTCAAGGTTTTGTAAAAAGTTTTAATTGTGTTACTAGATGAGTGTTAAATGCTTTTATGGAAGCTTATCTAAGTCAAAACTTAATCATCCTCCTGTATAATTTCCATTCCAAAATCCAGAAATGTCAGATGATAGTGATTTGTTTACAGATTTTGATGAAGAATAAAAATGCAATAAAAACTTAAACTTTAAGCAGAATATTAAGTACAAATTTAATTTAAGCATTAATTTAATTATCTTAAACTTTTTAAAACACTGTTTAAGTATTTTTATCTTTCAATGGAGTCTACTAGAAAGATAAAAATATTTCCTTATATATTATAAAAATATTGCTAAATTTTTTTTAGATGAATCCTAAAAACTTTTATGGATCTACAAAGAGGTTAAGAATCCCATTTCGAAAAACTGTTTTTCCTGTAAATCAACCTGAACTATCTAAAGTCAGTGATCTTTCAGGAGAATCTGATGAAGACTTTATTACATCAGAGTCAGAATCAGAATATGGTACTTCAGAATGGGATAGTGAGACTTCAGATGGTAACGAACAACAGCAAGCTCCACAGTTATCATCATCTAAAACACATCAACATTTACTGCAACAACCACAACCAACATACCAACCACAGGAAAAAAAAAGAAATCTTATTTGGAAAATTAAAAAAGATGACGATGTTCAGTAAATAAACCTTCCATTTCAAAACAGTGAAGATAAAGAAGATGATAACAATGGAATCTCAGATGAGCCAATATCATATGTAAGAAGATTTTTAACTGATGAACTTCTTCAAAAGATTGTTGATGAGTCTAATAAATATGCATCACAAATAAATATAGAGAATATGTTACGTTTGGAAAAAGATGAACTTGAGCAATTTATTGGCATTTTGTATTTGATGAGTATTGTGAAGCTCCCGTCAACACGTATGTATTGGAGCAATGAGTTGTATTTTGAAAAAGTTTCTGCAGTGATGACATTAAACCGATTTGAAAAAATAAAGTTATTTTTACATTGTAATGATAACAGACAGCGTCCAGAAAACTGTACTGACAAGCTTTACAAGATACGTCCCATCATTAATATGCTGAAAGAATCTTTTATAAGTCTGAAACATGACGAAATCCTGTGTATTGATGAACAGGTTGTTCCTTTCAAAGGAAGATCCTCGTTAAAACAGTATAATCCTCATAAGCCAAAAAAGTGGGGTTTCAAGTTTTATATCTTAGCTAGTGTTGATGGACTAGTTAATAATTTTGAAATACATTCCGGTTCAATTGATGTTTGTGAAGGACAGCCTGATTTAAAAGCATCTGGAAATATTGTAATGCATCTGTTAGTCAATGTACCAAGGCATAAATGGCACAAGTTGTTTTTTGACAATTGGTACACTGGGTTCGACCTGGTGAAAACACTTTACCACCAAGGCATAGCATGCACTGGAACAGTTCGTACAAACAGGCTTCCAAATATTAAAATGCCTACTGATGGTGAATTAAAAAAAGAAGGTAGAGGATCAACAGCCATTAGGGTTACCACAGTTGATAATGTTGAACTTTGCACTATTAAATGGTTTGATAACAGGGGTGTTGCATTGTTAACAAGTTATGAGGCAGTGAATCCAATAAACATTGTAAACCGTTGGGATAGAAAAACCAAGAGAATTGTTCAAGTCAAACGACCATCTGTTGTTACCACATACAACACATATATGGGTGGGGTGGACCTTCTTGATGGCATGTTGAGTCTTTACAGGATCCATATTCGATCTAAAAAGTGGTATCACAAACTCATTTGGCATTTTTTTGATTTGATTGTAGTACAAGCATGGATACTCTACTGTAGAGACATGAAAAAGTCACAAGCTTTAAAGAAAGATATTTTTCAATTGCGCATATTTAAGCTGAAAGTTGCAAAATGCTTAGTTCAGTCTGACAAGGCTTTAAGCAGTAGACGAGGACGACCATCCACTTCTGTTGACCATCTTCATAGGTTAAAGAGGAAGAGGGGTCCTGCTGCAAATTTACCTGAACCATCCACTAGGAAAGATAATATTGGTTATTTTCCTTTTTTTGTTGACAAAAAAGGGCGTTGTAAGTATCCAGGCTGCACTGGAATAACGAAAGTTTTTTGTGAGAAGTGTAAAGTTCATTTATGCTTTACATCTAATTCAAATTGTTTTCGAAAGTTTCATGAATAATTCTTGAAATACTTCTTGTTTTTTCTTTACAGTTTTTTGAAATTGAGATAATAGTTAAGCTTGTAAACTAATTCTTACTTTGAAATTTTTTTGAAAGATTTTCTTGTTTTAACCAAGAGCTGTAACTAAATGTTAAGTAAATTTGATTTTTAATTACAATTATTCTGTAGTTATTTGTATTTTAGAATTCTTGTTTAGACTTTGTGGTCAATTTATAATATTATCTTCTTCAGACAAACTATTCTTTGACATAGTAACTTAGTTTAAAAAACTGTCATAACTGCATATTGTTGCCTTAAAGCAACAAAGTCCAAAAAACCTAATTAAAATGGTAAAAAAAAAAATTGATTATTTTTTGTTATCACAGTCCTCAAATAACATTTTAAATGGATTTTCAAATTTTTTAATCATTAGCAGAATAAATCATGCAATATAGGGTTAAAAAGGTAAATTTGGCTAAACGGATTAAACATTTTTGACTTAAGGGTATGTTAAACTATCACTACCACATCCTCATGCAACTTTAAAAAATTCTTATAGTTGTTTGCATTCCGAAATCACATTTTGGTAACTTTTTGTACAAAAAAACTACAAATTTTGTAATTTATTTATATAAAAAAAATCTTTTGTGAAATAAGTATCAACTTTTTCACAGTTAAGGTGGTGGTTTGGCACCCCCTCTATCCCCTAAGATATACCCTGTGGGTAGAAACCAATATAAATTTGAAGCCTAATATTACACTTATCTTTTGATACTAAGTTATATTTACTTAGATAGGAACAGTTGGCAATGACAATTTAGATAAACAAAATCTAAATTTCGACCACAGTTTCTTTATATCAAAAATTAAGTACTTTAAACCTCATAACTTTTTGTTGAATTTTTTGGTTTTGATAATTTTTTTTACATTTTTTTTTTTTAACAACATTTTTTATTTATTTCCTTTGCCGTTTAATAAAATTTACGACAAAAAAGATTGTACACGTATAATAAATGACCGGAGCAAGAAGAAGACATATATTTTCTTATCGCCGAGCCCCGTTTACATTGTCGCCTTCAGTTTATGTAACAAGTTGAATTAAAAGTTAAAAATTTACAGGTTGAAGATTATATAGTAAAAAACAATATGCTACAATATACTAGTAAATCGTATAATAAGATATATATTTTTTTGTTTAGTTATTTATTTTTCTTTTTTATAAGAATAAAATAAGAAACAAATCAAAAAGTCATTACTCACTTATTTCTGTTTAAATGACATTAAAAAGACAGAAATAAGTGAGTAGTGATGATTTTTTTCAGTTTAACTATTTTAAGAACTTATTTAAAATTAAAAAATTTTTTAAGATCGAAGTAATTTTTTAATAAAAATCGTTTAGATTCTCTTTTGAATTGTTCTAGTGAGAAATTTAGAAGAGTTTTATTTTTAATAATATTTTTCAAAAACCTTTTCCATATAAATGATCCACGGTATTGAATTTGAAACGAACTGAGTTTTAACTAAGATCTTAGAACAACAAAATTATTAGTTGAATACTTTGTGGGGTGTTTATGAGTAATTTTGGTGAAGTAAGAGTGAAATATATTTAAGAGATAAACCATATTTTGACTTAAACATTAGAAACATAACTTGGTATATGTTATGTTTATAAACATTGAGTGCATTAAATTCCATTAAAAGAGATTCACCATTAACAGTTGTGTTAACACCAAATATAATTTACTTGCATGTTTTTGTTTGCTATAGATTTTTTTAAGCTTTTCATAATTAGTACTTCCATGCAATATTGCAATAGGAAAAATAACTATGAATAAATAAAAAATATAACATTTTTTAAGACTCAATATTAAGAAATGTTTTAACTTTATATAACATTGAGATATTTTTAGAGATTTTGTTATCACTAGATTCAATATGATATTCCCATGATATATTTTCATCCATAATCACTCCTAGAAAGTTAACCGTTGACTCTCTTTTAATAGCTGTTTTATTCATAAAGAGATTGGGTAATTTTAAAGAAAGGTTATTTCCCCTACTAGGTTTGTGGAATAATATAAATTTAGTTTTCCCAACATTTAATGAAAGTTTATTAATTGTAATCCAGTTATTTATTTTTAATAATTCTTCGTTTGATATTCTAAACAGATCTTTTATATTACTATTTGAATAAAAAAAATTCGAATCATTAGCAAATAATATAACATTAAAAACTTTAGATACTAAATATAAATCATTTATATAGAGTAGGAGTAATTGTAGGCCTAAGATTTATCCTTGGGGAACACCACAAGTTATAATATGTTTTTCTGTTTCATTTGCTGAATATATTATGTATTGTTTTCTGTTTGACAGGTAACTTTTAAACCATAGTGAGTTATTGTTTAGTGTTCCATGCAGTTCTAATTTTTTTAAAAGAATATTAGGGTCAACAGTGTCAAATACTTTTGACAAATCAGTAAGAACTCCTAATATATAAAAATCATTATTGAATTCATTGGATATATAATTTATTAGCTCGACTAGCGCATGATTCGCTGAATGATTCTTTTGGAACCCAAATTGTTTATTATACATTTTATTACTCTTAGTTAAATAACTATTTAGTCATACATAATTCTTTTATTTAGTCTATCATACATAATTATTTTATTTAGTCTATCATACATAATTATTTTATTTAGTCTATCATACATAATACTTTTATTTAGTCTATCATACATAATTATTTTATTTAGTCTATCATACATAATTATTTTATTTAGTCTATCATACATAATTCTTTTATTTAGTCTATCATACATAATTATTTTGAGAAGCATTGTAAGACAGAAATAGGTCTATAATCAGACATATTTGTGTCATCGCCAGATTTAGATATAGGTATGATCTTAGCAATTTTTAATTTCTCTGGTACGATTCCGGATTTTAGTGACAGATTGAAAATGTAAAACAGTGACGGTTCAATAATATCAAACACTGCTGTAACAACATTCACGCTATTATAACCCTATATATAACCCTAACCCTGACTTTTGGTAATACTGACCGAACCAATTATTATCCAATACTATCTATATTTGCCGACTAAGGGTCCAATTTATATATATATATATATATAAATAAATTTCCTATCAAATTGTTATATATATATATATATATATATATATATATATATATATATATATATATATATATATATATATATATATATATATATATATATATATATATATATATATATATATATATATATATATATATATATATATATATATATATATAAATTTCCTATCAAAATGTTAAACTAAAAGGTTGTAGACACAACGAAAGTAAAAAACTTGTTTTACATATGCTTTACCTCTTTATTTTTATAAGACGCATGCGCATAACTTTTTCAACAAAGTTGTGTCTTCATGTTACCAGTTCATTGTCACAAAGGACATTTGCAAATTGCAATCCTTGTTTATTCCATGTTACTTTGCTATGGAAATCAAAAACAGTTTAACTTAGAAAAAAGTTCAAATCACTCTTGGTTTTTATGATTTATGTAGAGATTTTACTGTACGTGAATCTGATATTCTAGCTTCTAAAGCTATCAATTTTCATGTTAGTTGGTTTGCGAGGACATTGGAAAACACCCATTGGTTATATAATCATTATACAGAACTTTTAATTAAATAAAGTTAAAACAAGTGATTTAATATGCTTTATTGAAAACATTTTGAATTTAATTTTAAAATAACTTTGTATCAAAAGTCGTAACTTTGTTCCCTTTTGATGTCTGCCAGGCTAAGATGTTAATTATATGGTTAATACAGTTTATTATGACAATTGCTACACATTTTCCAAGTCCCATGCCATATGCTTAAATTAGAAAAAAAATCTTTTAATGAATTGTGTTTTTTTTTATAAGTATTGTATTTAATAGAGTTATTTTAAACCTTTGTTTGAGTCTGAAGGTTTGAATTTGTAAATGAATTTTCAAGTAAATATATCAAATTTTATTGCCACAAAAATGCATGTTGAGAAAAATGAGGCCAGTTTGATAGAAAGATAAGTAAATATATTTCAGAATTCTGGTGTTTAAATATTTTAAGTAGTATATTCTTTAGTAGCAAATCTGGTAGTATTTTTAGAAGTATATTCTTTAGTAGTATATTCTTTTGTAGTATATTCTTTACTAGTATATTCTTTAGTAGTATATTTTTTAGTAGTATATTCTTTAGCAGTATATTCTTTAGTAGTATATTTTTTAGTAGTATATTCTTTAGTAGTATATTCTTTAGTAGTACATTCTTTAGTAAAATATTTCTGAGCATATTTAAATATGCCCAGAAATAAACTACTAAAGACTTTAGTAAATTACTAAGAAAGTCATCATTTGGTTTATGCCAGCAAACGAATCAGTTAATATAATTCAAGGATTTATAAATGTTTGTTTTAATTATATAAAATAATAAAATATAATACAATGTTTTTGTTTAAAATCCTAAATGGAAATATGTTTTTAAAATTTTATGTTTTTTTAAATTTGTGGCTTTTAAAACAGCCGTTTATTTTAGTTTTTCAGCTTCTACAACCTTGTTTGACTAACACAAGTTTATATTGCCTGTAGGCCACCAGATTTATCGTCTCTGAACTAACCATCTTCAATTCCAACCTTAATTTAGACTTTAAAGTTGCTAATCTCCTTTTACTTGACAATGTTTGCTGAAAGTGTTTTGCCCGATATAATAATGGTTTCTAACGCATTGTGTAATATTAAATTTGCTTCACTAAAAAGGGCGAAGTTCGGTATCTAGGTAATATCTTTATATCATTGCATTAAGTTTGTTGATTTAGAGATAGAACGGTTAAAGGTTATATTTTCTGTAATTAAGAATATTGGGCAATGATCAGCTATGTCGGTTTTGATTATACCCGATTTTAAGAAGCAACTATGAAAATTATTAGTGAACGTCGATCTAGTAACGTCCACAATGTCTTAGGTTTTCT